TTTCCAGTTCTTACTTGCCCTTCTGAATTTGTTCTTTATTTTATTCTCTATTTTCTTTCGCTCTTTTCTAAGGAAGAAGAAATCTGTCTTAGTGCTGTCTGATTTTATGTTATTAGAGGTAGATGTGAAGACATTGAGTTGTGGTGCTGAGACAGATAGTTTGGGTAGGTAGGTAGGTAGGTAGATAGATAGATAGATAGATAGATAGATAGATAGATAGATAGATAGATAGTTTTTTATACTTAACCATAAAAAATGCTTAAAGTACTGTGAGCTGATGTCCTTAGGACTGCTGTGTTTCAAAATATTCAGTGCTGGCTTGAATGCAAATAACAAGAGGAGATATTTCTGCCTTCCCCACATGTTTTTGTGGCTGTCTTTATTTCTTCAACTTTTACAAACTACTGACATTTGGCATACTAATTACACAGTAAATGTTTTCCAAAATTATGACATAGGGAAGTAATGAGTTCAAAGTTTTTCCCTAGTAAAGCATATATACATAGTTTATATTATTTATATTATATTATTATTTATATTTATATTATTTCTTCAGACGATGGCCATATCAGAGCACCCTGTGGTGAAAATTGTTGCATTTTTATTCACAGTGGCAGCAAATTCAAAGAATTCAAAGAATTTCCATACCAAACCTGTTGTTCTGTGTTTGAAATATTTGAAATTAAAATTGAGTTATGAAAACAGACCTTATAACCACAGCTTATACCATAGCCCAGCATTTGACTGCTTTTATCATTTTCAGTCTGGCATTGTAAAATATTCTTCTTGAAGCACAGGGAGCCACTCCCTCAATTACAGTGGAAAATTTCTGGGTATTTTTAAGTCACTTTTGAAGAACTTTATATAGAAGAGGTAATCATGTTTATGCTCAGAAGGAGAGCCACGAATTCTCTGAGGGAAATTTATGTTCTTTAGGAGAAAATGTCAGAAGAGGGAACACACAGATATAAAAATTTCAGCTAGAAGCAGGACAAACTCTTTCAAACAAGTTCCTCATTAATCACAGTAATTTTTAAAGTCAAATGCAGGTAACACCTGATTGATTAGTTTGTTTTATTTTACATCTTGTTCTGAGCTCAATTGTAAGCAAAGATTACTTGGCAATCAGCACTCTGCTTGCACTCAGGAACTTTCCTTGTTTGGAAATTTTGAGGGGAGACTTTCTGGCAAAAAAACTTTACTTAAATGGGGAAATTTCTCAATTTATTACTTCAGTAATGTTTTTTGAACGTGGTGCTGAAGTCACGCCTGTGTCTGGAGCAATTTAACAGCCTCTGGTGGAGACAATGTCACTTTAATGTGGAAGAGTTTATGTAGCACCTGCTCCATCTTCTGTCTGGTCTAAAATGTATTATTGCCTTCCTTCTCAGCTATAAGATCAATCATTTTAAAAGATGGAAGGAATAATGACAACAGTTTAATAAGGCCTTGCCATTTCTTTGGCTGGAAATTAAGATCCTTTTTTGTGAGGAAATAGTGAAAAATATTGTGAGGACACAGTGAACCTGTTTCTTCATCCAAACCAGGAGCCAGAGATGTACAGACTGCCTTCAGAATTGCCCATTTCCAAGCCAGCATCCTGCACAAATGAGCTCACAAGGGACAGGCTCAAATCCAAACAAGCCCTAATTATGAGGCTCTGTGAGGAGCACTGGCTCTTTGGAGAAGCTGAGATGACCCATAATATTGATTGATTCGGGGAAAAAAGTACAGAGGAATTTTAAGCAGGCTGTTTTGGAGGAGAAGGAAGGGTGTAGCTATGGAGTTCTATAGCTTAATCGGAATAATGTATTTCCCAGAAGAAGTTGACTGGCATGAGATCCCATTTATGTAACTATAAAATAGAAGAGTGCTCCTGAGACACAGGTGTGCTTTTGGCCTGACTCCCCTACAGGAATTTAACAAAGGAGAGTTAAATGCCCAGAGTAGCTCGAGTTAATTAGAAACGTGTTTGATAAATGTTCTCCAAAGGGCTTTTCAGTTGGAGGATCACTAAGAGCTTTCTCAAAGAGAGTGTCACAGAGTTGTGGCCATTCTGCCCAGAGCAGCTGTGTAGACAACTCTCCCTCCTCCTCCTTCTCTCTCTAGCTCATATAATAGCCCAGAGAAGTTAACTTACAGTTAGTTAGGACACAATTTGCCCAAAGAATACCCTGTCCCTGGAAGTGTTCAAGGCCAGGCTGGATGGGGCTTGAGGAAACCTAACACAGTGGGAAGCATCCCTGCCCATGGCAGGGGGCTTGGAATGAGATGATCTTTAAGGTCCTTTCCAACCCAAAGCTATCTGTGAGTCTTTGATAATGGGTTTGTTTTTGAGTTGTCTAGGGCTTCCAGAGCAGGAGTCCATGAATATTCCACCGTGGACCATGCACCAAATGTAGCCCAAATAGTTGTGTGGGAATCTGATCCTTCACAGTGAGGTTCACAAGGGAGTGAGCTCCATTTCCATGGCACCTTTGGGCTTGCTGACAGCACAGGTTCCCCTGGCCACTGCTGGTGCAGCCCAGCTCCAGGTAACCCCTGCAGTGTCTCTGAAGCCTGAGAGATCAGGCTTGGCAAGGAGAATTCATCTCAACCTCCCTGCACATGGTACTGAAGTTTGCCTCAGGTGGATGAGTGAGTGTGGCTACTTCAGGGAAAAAGATTCTCCTCAAAAGATGAGAAACAAGGCAAAAGATAACAAGATAAATATGTCCATCTCTCAGGAGCATCTGTGGAGGAAAGCTAGGATCTTATTCTGCTTTTATAGCTTGTGGTTGAAAGGAATAGCTCACAGCATGAGGATGGATGCAAGCAAGACTTTGCTACAAAAGAAGCATCCCAACCATACCAAACAGCTTAAGAAAGAACTCAGGAGATGCCATTCTGTTATTCCTTGGCTATACCCAGAGATGAGAAGATGACTTTGCTTTTTTTTTTTTTTGTGTACAGCACAGTTTTTCGCTTTTCCTTCTCCCTTATCAGCTACCAAAGCTGGTTTGTGCAGCATTTCTCATTGCACGAGAGTTTTCCACTTCTGAAAGATGATGCAGTGAGCAGAACTGACAGGACTTGTCTGTGCTCTGGTCTGAATTATTTGCTGTAATTGGCATGTCTGTCCCTTAGCTCCACCTGTGTTATCTGAAACATTACAGCTTTAAATTCTTACCATTTGTATAATCTGTTTATTTAGGGATGATATTTCCCCTTCTATTTGTAATTTCTTGCTCTTCTCACTATGGGTAAAATAACCCAAGAACTAGATGGTTCATTTGACAAATAGAGAAGTGCTATTTTTTTCTCCCAAAAGGGGTTTTCACTGTTTTTCTTTTTTCCTACTCACTCAGAGGTTACTGTCTGTTAAGATAGCTGACTGGAAACTAAAGTAGTTAATGCACACAAGCCAGAACAAGTTGTGTGGCTCATCTTTCTACAGGAAAGGGAATTGTGTGGCTGTTCTCAGTTTGAGCATTATGTGTCCTCTTATCCATATCTTACAAAAATTACTTTAGGCTCCTCACAAAGACACCTTCTGGGTAAAAAAAATGGACTAAAAGATACAATTTTGCTCTACAGGCAGCAGCAGTGGATGACATTTTGCATGTAGAAACAAAAGCTATCTGAGCACCTTATGATACACTCAGACCTGAAGTGTCAGTGCCTCAACAACCCCTTCTTCCCCCTCCACATTTCAGTTCATCCCATCTCCATCAAACCTGTCAGCTTTACTGTGAGAGTTCCACCTGCAGGATTAATGGGACCTGTGGCCATCAGGGTCCTCACCTCGGCTCTGCCCTGATTCTGGCTGGCCTTTGAACAGTTCAGAGGAAATGAGAGACTTTTTCACAGCAGAAAGATTGCACGAAGTCAGTTCTGAGCATTCCTCCTGGTGCTGTGCTTGTGCTTGCTCCAGCAGCAGCAGTGCAGAGGGAATGTGCAGCCCAGGGAGTGACAGAGCACAGCTGGAGGAGCTGTGGAACTGCAGTGGCCCCAAACAGGCAATAAAGAGAATTCACTTAGTGCTGATTATTGCATTCAGTTTTGTTCTGTTTTGAAAACATGGTCTGGAAAACACTGTGCCAAAAGGCCTTTTGCTTAAAGGCCAGGCAGGGTTTGGCTCTTTTCTCTGGTTTTCAGTGATGTTGGCCTCAAATTGCCTTGTTATTCCTGTCTGTAGACCAGTGATGAAAATACCCTTACTTTTTCAAGCAGTTTGAGATCTTCTAATGAGGCATATTTTATACAGGCTTTATTAGAGTTCTTGTTTGCAGCATATTACGATACACAGGGTTGTTGCAATGTGACTTCAGAATATGTAATGTAATTATTTGTACTGAGTATAAATACAGTTAAGGCAATGCTATCTGTGCTGGGAGAAAATACTTTGACATTTACCAAAAAAGCCTCCTTTTTCTATATTACATTTGTTGTGTGTCACCTGTGTTCTGCTATGAAGGAAATATGAAAGAACTAGAAAAGCATTTTGTTTTATTTCCTAAAAAATATATATTTTGTGTTAATAGGAGCTTTCCCCTTTGAAGCCAGGCTTCGAATCAGTTCTCCTACAGTTGCTAATCTTTTCTGCCATCGTATTCAAAGGAAATTTATCAGGCAAAAAAGCTATTGGATGCAGAAGACGAAATTTTATTTTTCTTGTGGCAGTAGGATTAAAAGATATAATTATTGGTTATCCTTTGTGGACATCATCAGTGTTGATAAATACAGTTACACTGTTTACCATCCCTGAACTAATTCTTAAGGCTTGGGCAAGTCAGCAGTGAAACTAATACGTTTAGCTTCTTATTAATAAGAAACAGAAATTGTCACTTAAATGCTTGATCTTAACAACACTTTGCAAGTGTTTACCTCACTGTTAAAAAAGTTACTGAAACCTGGCTGAAAGGCATCTTATAAGTTCAAGGTGTATTTCCGAAGCAGGTGTGCAGCAGCTTAAACAAGGACATTTCTGAAGCTGAAATCTTATTTTTCTCTTTTCACAGGGATCCCCAGAATTTGTATCCCCCTGAGGTCAGCAATGCAAAGCTTCAGTATGCTGGTTGGGGTCCAAAAGGGCAACAGCTGGTAAGAGAAAAAAAAAAAAAAAGTATGCAAATGAATTTAGAGACCATGCTGCTATTGCTTGGCAGTAAAGCAATAATAATTCCTTTTTTGAATAGTTTCTTGAAGCCTGTGTGGTAGCTTCTAGCATTTATTTATGATTGTTCCATCATGTAATTTATTTATAAAATTCCCATATATATCCGTTCTCTGCAAAGTAATCGTGTCTAAAAATGCAGAGAAAGAACACTTCATGAAAGCTTTTTGAGAGGATGCACCTGCTTCTCCCAATGTTGGACACAGGACAGATTATAGAGATAATAGTTTGATTTATTTAGCATCTCATTGCTTCACAAGGGCATCTTCAGACTTGCAAACTTGGCACTGGGGATATGTTAATATTAGCAGCCCCATTTGGAGACTGCTTCTCTCTAGAACAGAGCTGCCCTGAATTTGCCCTGTGGTTGTTTGCAAAATAGACAGAATTAGAAGTGGATCCTGGAAAGTTTTCAGAGCTGCTTAAAAAGAAAACAACCACACCACTTGTCAGGGATTCATTATATTTCATGGAGCTATTCATACTGCAAAAAAATTTTAAAATCCCCAGTATTTTACCCCTCAGCCACTGCCATCCTGGATGTGCCCATTTTTCAGAGCATGTATTTCCTGGCCAGATCCCCTGGCTTCATTTCCTGGTGCAAATCCAATATTAAGTTTTTCCATATTCCAAACATTCTCTTTCTACTATAACAAGAAATGAATAAGCGGCAACATCTTTTTTGATATGGAAGTTTGATATCAAGAAATGAGTTTTGAAAGCTCATTATAAGAGAAAAGCTGGCATATATCTCCTGTTCCAAATCCTCTCTTGGGGACTGTTTGTCTGTGTCATTAACTAGATTGCTTTAAATTCTGTGATTTTAATAAACAGCAATAGGAGTTATTATAATTGCAAGGCTGAAAATCAGGTTGAAGAAAACGTAACAGATACAAGAAGAGGAAATTCTTTCCTCTGCTCCATCAGGAAAATTGTGTTTGAGAGTCATTGACCTCAAATCTGATCAGAGGGGAGAGTCAGCAGCCTTTACCGCTATACAAAATATCTTCTGAGGAGCTCTTTGCTTTCATGGCACACAGCTGGGAGGGACCTCACACATCACTGTTCAATACCCCCACCATGTGCAGGGAATACCTTTGGGACATAGCAAAGAAAGCCAAATCTTTTTTTCCTTCACTGCTCCCTAGCTCTATTTTAAGTCTAACAGAATTTCATCACGTGCAACGAAAACTACATTTGCTAATTAAGAGCTAATATTGAGTGGCATTAGTCACATTCTCCACCCCAAAAATGAACCTTCCTTTAATAGAGTTTCCTGTGAATTGTGTGCCCTCAGCACCAGTGGTCACAGCTCTCTGCTGACACATCCATGCTCATTTCACCAAGCTCAAGGGCTGCACCTAATTTCCACCTTGGAAAGAAGATCTAAGGAGATCTTACACCAAAGCCGAGATGACCAATTATTGCCTCCATTGCCTTCTGTACCAAAGTAAAACAACTACACGGAAAGGAAAAATGTTCCTACAAAATAGACAAATTGTATCTGCAACATGAGAGTACACACAGTCCAGGAGAAGAAAAGTCTTATTTACTCTTAACATTATCATTTAATGTTGAAGAGGCTGATACCAATTTCCACCATATTTTTAAAGCAATTTACAGTGAAAGCTCAAAGTCCCAAGAATTCCTCAAGACATCAAGTTTAATGCATGTTCCTTCTGTGGGGTGCATGCTATATTTATTTATTTTTGGCACCTTTAAAAATCCCTGTGGTTGTTGCATTCCATATGAATCTTGGGAAAATCTTGCTACTGCAAATTTGTTCTGCATGCTTTTTTTTAAAACTATTTTTTGTCTTTTTTACTTTGAAATATGTAAAATTATTGTCCTGTGATTGAGCTCTATTTCCTGTTCTTGCATTTAGAATCAGGGAAAGTGAGCAGCAAGTCACTGGTAGTTTAAGCATTATTTTTTCATACTTCTAACATGTGTGCCTTTTTGCCCTTTTCTTTGCCAGTCATTTACCTTGAAATAAAATTATAGCTGTAGTTTATAAAATAAACATGCTTTTACGTACATCAATATAATTTTTTTATATCTAATAATCAGCAGAGAATTGCCAGAGGGAAAAAAAAAAAGAAGCTTTTCAAATTTAAAAAAAAAACTAAAACAATAATAAATGTGATCTAGAAACTCACCATGTTCACTGTTCTGTATTTCAGGACTAATTGGGTTACTCGGAATATAATTGCCAGAGAAATCCGTGTCACCTTCTGTGGAGATGCAAAGACAGAGAAAAGAATTAAAGTCTATTAAAATTTGATAGTGGGAATGTGTTTGCTAAATGTGCACTGAGTTGTGTTGCAGGAGAAGGAGGGAAAATGTGTTGAGTGGGAGGGGAGGGAGTAACTGAGAACCTCAAGCCAGCTCCAGGTTCCAGGAGGTTCCTGAGAGAGTTGGAGGGGGATCAGCAGCAGTGAGCATCCCCAGCCCTGTGTGCACACAGCTGGGCACGGGCTCAATCCCATTTCATCCTGCATCTCCCAGGAAGGGCGGGAGCCAAGGGAAAGTGTGCTCTGCATCACCTTGAAGATACCCTGATTTTCAGGAAATAAAAAAAAGCTTTCCCCTTGAAATCTCCTGGTTTGTTCTTTTTTGGCAACATAAAGGAAAGGAAGGGCAGGAGAGTAAGAGGGCTTGGTTCCAAAATTTTTATTCTCTTTGTAGCTTCTATTTCATCCTTCCTAGGGGAACTTTGGGTTGCTGTGCCTGACCTCTTTCTCTCTTGCATGTCGAATCATTCAAAAAAGAAACAAATCTGAAATAGAAGGAGCCTGAATGATCTGCATTCTCTGCAATTAAAAATATAGTGGAATATTCCCATGAGCTATTTTCTGTTTATCTTGCTTTATTTTGTCCTTTCTCATTAAATTATATGCCAATTTTTGGATGATTAAGTCCTCAGAGCATGGTTCTTGACTTCTTACTAGCCTGCAGAATGCCACACATGCCAACTGAGCTGTTTAAATAATGGCAGATATTGGATCAGGGAAAATCTGTCAGAAGATCAGAATGCAAAAAAGCTCTCACTTCTGGCATCTCAGAAAAATGCTTCAGCTTTTCTGTGATCTCAGCCAGAGTCTTGAAAAATTAAGTCTTAAGCTCACTAGTGTGAGCTCCAGTCATCAGAGAGAGCCACCAATTTCAATGCAAGAGGGAACACATTCCCTAAATCTGGCTGCTAATAAAGGGCTCACTCCTCTCATTTGTCTACAGCATGAGTCATCATTTATGCCTTTACAGAATAAGTGAAAAACAATGTTAACTTGGAATAGCCGTGTGATATATTCACTATTTGTGGGTGTAAATGACTATGCAAAATGCCTATGGGAAAAATCCATCCTTTCCATGGTGCACTGCCAGCCCAAAGCCACACTTAGCATTCCATTTCATCAGCCCACTGGCCTTCAGCATGGTGCCTTGGTGGTTTTTTAGTGAACAGACTGTACTATCCTCAGTTCGTGTGATACTTTCCAGCAATATGAGGCTGTGGGTGGCATGACAGGACTGCAAAAAAGTGTGATTCTGTACCTTTGTCCTGTTCTGGGTGTGCTTATCTGCACAAGAATCTTCACTCCTTGGATGTCTTTGCTTTTTCTGATCATGCCATCTATGACTCAACAGCTACCCACTTCTGCACTTCTGCTTTTGCCACCAAAAAAAAAGAAAAACCTTCTGTTAATTGATCATATTGGAATATTTTACCAGTTTCATCATGTTCCATCTCATGTTCCAAGGCTCTGCCCACATGCAGAGAGCTCAAGTAATGTTCCCGTGGTACATTTGCCCCAACAGTATCAAAGAAAAATGTTAATAATGTCTGTGATCCTGAACTCAGCTTCATAAAAGTTGTGTGGCTGACAGGCCTGGACCTGTCTATTCATCAAGAAAAGTAAGTGCAGTGTGAAGAGGTTTCCTTTGCTGTTTTTCCTGGCAGCACAGTGTGTGCTTCAGGAGTAAGAAATTGTCCAGTGCATGTCTGTGACCGAGGTGCCCAAGGAATCCAATAAACCCAAAGCTTTCATGAGGATTTTATCTAAGTTATCCCAAAATGAGCACATCCACGTTCAAAGTATGTGTACTAAGGACAAGCTAGGAATGTCCATGGGCCCTGCTGCCAAAAAGAAGGAGAAAGCAGGAGGTCTGCTCTAATAAACTGCAGTGAATATCTGTCTGCATTGACAGCACTAAATACAGTTCACAGGAGCTGTTAAACTCCAATATCCAAAGCAGAAGCACTTCTGTTGTTTTTCTATTTTCTTGTTTTTTTCGAAATCAGAATCTGTAACCATCCTGACAGATATTAATGGTAATGGTGACATATCAGATGCTGGGAGAAGCAGTTTTGCACTACTTGAGGCAGCAGTTATAATTCTAAAATCATCTTTCTCACAGATCATATTATTTATTCTGCTACAAAGAGAAACATTCTTTTTTTAAATATTCTTCTGACCAGTCTGTCTATTACTGTTTACACAGTACCAAAAACATACAGAAAGCAGATTGGGGTTGCTGGAAGTTTTGTATGTCCTTGCATTTACTGCAGCCCCACAGAAGGGTCAAAACAGGTTTTTTCTGAATTCATAGAAAATAAGCCTTTTTCAGTGTCAACTCGTTTTGGAGCAGGAACCATCTCTTATTCTTGTCGATTGTGCTGCAATCGAGTTTATAATTGGTTCTAAGGCAACAGAAGTTAAGTTTCACAGCAGGTGCAGAAGATGCAATAAGAAATCTCTATTTCAGGGAAATGCAAATGCCAGGGGAAAAAATGGAGTGATTCTTTCAGCCTGTACCATGTTAGGGGTTTGCAGGTGCCTTCAAACAGTGAATGCTGATTCTGGTAAACAGCTTATTGTCGTAAATAGTGCTATTTTAAAAAGTGCAATACAATTAAGAGAACCATTGG